TCTGGCCCACGTGCGTGATGGAATGTTTTTTTTTTTTTTTGAAAAACTCGATTACTTAGGTACTACTTTTGGATTTTGAGTTCGGCAAGTGTACTGTGTGTGAACGGGTACAATAACTTAACTATGGCAGAAATTTGAGAAACTAAGTGATTATAATAGATTTCCTATTGCGTCATTTCTTCCTAGTGAGTTTATCACCTGGAACTGTATGACGAACATTTACTAAAGTTAGGTTGTTGCAAGTGAAATTGTCATCCACGTATGTCTGAACTTAACTGCGTCATTTTCATTGAGTTATTAAAAAAAAGGCGTAGGATTCGCTCGTATGTACTAAGATTATGATTTATTCTTCTCTATCCGAGAATTCCAGTAATTTCCATTCGTGCGTGATGGTGCGTCTTTTGTGAAATCGACTCCAGTAAGTGCACATAAAACATCACTTGTAATAATTTTTGAACTCGAATTCTGACTGGCTTAACTAAAAAATAGCGAAAAAATATTTTTTTCAAATTCCAGTCTCTTTTTTTCTGACATAATTGCAACATTTCAAATTGGGTTGTGTCATGCCTGCATAATCAATACATGGCCGTTGAAGTGAGCTTCTCCAAAGTACCCTGTTAATAGTAGTGTTCTTTGAGGCAACGGGCTGTGCTTGTGAATAATTATATATAAATATATATAAATTCAAATACAAATTCATCAAATTTCTACAAATTCAAATAATTATTTACTTGTCTTTTCCAAATTGGTTCAAAATTTATTGTTATGTCTAAATTCCCGTGTTACATTAAAATTTGTGGGTCCCATCAAGTCCATCGACAATTGAAATTTTCCGGTTTATTTCTGGGATTTACTTACATACGTCATGCAATCGTTGCTCTTTTTCTTGCTGATGAATATTTCATTGATGGCGTCATTCTTGGAGTCAAAAAAGATCTTGGCTAAGAGATGTCGGTACACTGACGCGTACGTGACGTTCACGGTTTCTTTCCTTTCCTTTCCCTTCGCAAATGGTTCGCCGCGCGCGGCGGTCGCACCACCTAATACGCGATTTTTTCGCGACGCATCACCTTGGCATGGTGTTCGGTCCCAATTTCAATTTTTCGATTTCCACGGTCAGTCCAAACAAAAAGCTTCCAGAACCTTGACGGTGACCATAGGGTTTAACATTGACTTGAAACGTTATGATTTCTGATCCAACTTTTTTTTATTGAAAGTTTTTTTATAATGTATTCCTTGTACAAATTATGGAAATTATTATTCCTAACATTTAGGTGGGAGCCTCTGGGACAGCACTATTCCTATACGATCACGACTGGATGAACTCTAATTATATTACTACTGTAACTGAGCATAGTTCTGAGTTATGTTATCCACAATATGGGTGTATTGGCCTGCTTTGCTAGAAATATCCCTGGACTGTTCTGTCCCGAAAACAATTTGTAGCTGATTCATTGGGTACTATGAGCTTCAACAAAAGTAATTGTTGCGCTCCTTTTTGTACAACTATCGTGAAACTATACTCATTTATAATAGTAATGTAGTATTTCATTCAGAGAATCCCCTCAGAGATACCTCTCTGAGTCAATCTAATAGGGATGAACTGGCCAGCTTGGTAGGTGGGATAATCGATGCGAGGTGCGGGCCTGATTCCCCAAAGGATATGCCATCGCAGAGGTAAGGCTGTAACGGTCACAACTGTGTAAGCGGTATTATAAGCATTCAGGATTGTGGTTACCTTCGTGAAAGAGATAAAATGAAACTAGTAAGGCTACAACTCGATAAACTAATAGCTTTGGGGCAGTCTAAGGGGCCATCAGCCCCAGTGTGATCATGCTCTACTGGACATGAATTTAGTGAAGGGCACTGTGACTTCCTGACGATAATTGCTAAGCTTCATTGGCCTTCAGACTACTATATAGTAGTAGATCAGTACCTTTGCGCCTTTGCCCTACCACTCCACTGATCATTTCTTTCGTGTCAAGCGAGGCGGTTTCGCAATGGAGCGCGCTACCTTGCTGCAATCCTGATCGCATAGGAAACCTCACTGGGTGCATATCCATTTAGGAAAGAGAAGTAACCCCAAACTGAGGCTGGGTTTAGCTTTTACTATCAATATACCAGAATAACTTTACAACAAGTGTTTTGATCCATGCAGTAATGAATATAAAGACACCGATGGTCGACACCGGTTAATTCCCACTTGTTTTTGAGAATATTAATATTCTGATGTGATGTAGAACGTTCTCAAAGTATTAGCAATATATACATCACATATATTTATTTATTTAGTTGTTCGATTCCTTAAATCATCATCAGTTGGACTGAATAAGATGGAAATTACTTTAAAATCAAAAAAGAAGTACAATTCTCAGAAAAAACTTTACACTCAATTCTTTCTGTAAATGGAAGAGTTTCTGGGCGAGGTTAAAAGCTTTTACTCAACTATTTAGTAAAAACAAACACATTGAGAGATTCCCTTGAACTAACAATTCCCATCTATGGAATAGAAATGATGCTTGTTGTCAAAGTGGGCCTATAAATGAGGATTGTCCTCATGTCTCATTAGGAACGAGTCTTCTCCACAACACAGAGCTCCATAAAGTTCTGCATTTCTTTGTTTAGAGAATCTTTATGAAACGAGTTACCAATTAGGAGGACTGCTTGGAATTTATGGACATCTTGAGGGATTTTATTGGTTCAGTCGCCTTCAAACAAGACCCTCGAGGCCAGTCGTCATATGAGAACTTATGTGTGGTAATGAGAGCTAAGAACAGCTGCATCTCAGAAAACTGTTTTTCATCAGATTAGGATGAATTAGTTGAAATGCCGGAAGTTAAGGGACTATTTCTCAAGCTTCTCTCATCAGCCGTTCCACTTAGCAGTTAGCTTTCTAGCGGACCATATTAGAGTTAAGCTATTAGAAGGCAGTAGTGTTAAGTTAAGAAATTAAGCTGTAAAGTGTAAAGTTAGATAGAAAAAAACCGGAATACACGCTTCAATCATAAAAGTGGAAATTAAGAGATTCAGGTAGAAAATGCGAAAGTCCGTTAATAGACTCTTAACTGACTGGGGACGTGGTATGAGGCTGCTTCCGTGTGAAACGACCTGAATTCCGTGATGAAGGTGCATTAATTTTGCCCGAATATTCGACATGTTTACACATGCCTATGAATGTCAAAGTAAGTTGAGGGTGGCCGGAACTACTTCTTAGAAACAGAATGACAATAACTGCATGGGGTCAAAAAAGTAAAGTAGAAAAAGTATAGTAGTTGACAGTTGTCTCAAAATCGCTTCTCGAGCTCCTCCTGACTGATTTGAGACGTTTGTCAACTACAAAGAAGTGATCCACCAATGAGAGAACGTTTCACTACGCTCGTATCCGTCGAATACGTAGCTTCTGGAATCCGTGCAGCTATTTATTACTAGTAACGTGTAAATTACTACGTAAGCTAGGCTTTGTATGTACGTCACAACGGAGAAGACTCGCGTCTAATCCACTTGTCCTTGGGTCACAAAGTATAAACGGATCAGTTGTGGAGTCGCGTTATCGGAGTTAAACTTCTCAACGAAATGACGTCCAAGGGATTATGATGGAAGCCAGAGTACAAGGCATGTACACGAATTATCCATCGGAAACGAAATGACCCATCAAATAACTGACTCTCAATTTTTATCATGATTCAATGCATGAGCAGTTCACTCAATAGAGGATGTAATGAAGGGGGGGTCACCTGCATTACCTGATGTCCCGTTAATCATTGATTTCTCCGAGTGGGTNTCAGTAACGTCCCGATTCGTTCCTATCACCAATCAGAGTAGTCTAGTGGATCATCATCGCCCCAGGGACACGAGGCATAGCATTCCTTTGGCTGACGGTGGTATCACCTATGAGTGATATATTAATTACTAGTTAGTCCTGAAATAGACATCTACTGGACGAGTTTCATGGAATGATCTTGTCCGTACTTGTTACTGTTTACTCACTACCGATTAGGAAGGGTGTTATCGTTTTGTGATGCTGCGAGCCAGTCACTGAAGTTTTTCTACCGTAGACCCATAAAGAAATCCTAGGGAGGAGTTTTTCTGTTTTGATGGCCCCATCACATTGAACGCATTCAGCATCAGGTCCGTTGTTCACAAATGCGATTACGCTAACAAAAGAATCACATTGAACGGTTTTTTGTAGCAATTTCTTGCACCCTAAACCTACTGAAGTTGCTGTTTTAAAAGTGTACATAGGCACATAATTTTCGGCTCTCATGAACCAAACAGAAAACTGTTAGTTACTTTGGAGAAAAAAAAACCAGAAGTATCTACAGACCAGGATTTTGTGGAGAGCCTACTGCATTAACTATTACTATAGCAGTTGTTGCTGAAAAATGGCAGAATTCACTTTTTTTTAGAAATTTCAACGAGGCATTCCTTTCTTTATTGGACTTTATAACCTAGGTTGTAATGCTAATCACAAGAGCTTAGAACTGCTTGAATGAGGTGAGTCTTCAAAAATCCAACTTCACCTGTGAGTTTCGTGGGCCCAACACGGCCCTGGTTTTGAAACGTGGTTTCCTCTTAACTCCGCATTTTAGAATTAGCTAATAAAGGGATCACTGCTTCAGTTCGTTCATGTTGGGTTGTATAACAACTTTTTGGACTCTGCTTCTAGTTTCAAAAGATTTTAATTTCTCTGAATTGATTTTTTTTTGAAAGTTACTTCAGTGTTTTTTTTCCAAAGTTCAATTAGCGCCATTATTTGTTCAACTTTTATTAAATACTAATGGGGCATGAGCTTTTTCTTCTGTGAAGTCATTACGTCTGATGACGCAAATGCTTTGATCCATTGAAGGACGTCATTCTCAGCTTGTTTTTCACATGGACAATGTTTTGCGTACTTACTTTTTAAGAACCACTACAATTACCCGAAAGGCCCCTCTGTAATTATCATATGTTTCTCAGAACCACGAATGGAAAGGTGTTCAAACTTATTAGGTTGAGCTAGATAGAGGTTTTGTAGTTGTAAGAGGCGCAGTATGCCGCAGTGTGGTCTGGGGATCTAATCCCAGATAGATACTCGCCCAAACCAACTGGCCCTTCCATCCCTCTGGGTTTGGTTGATTGATACCAGACAGACCCGTCGGGGGAAAAATCATTGACTCCCCCTGCTAGAGCACCAGAACAACACTTTAGGAAAGAACCTTAGTATTATTCTAATGCCTTGAAGTTAAAAGTTCGAATAGAGTTCGATCGATTCGATATCCACATCATTTCAAGTTTATCGACCCAAAAATCCAAACTTTTGAAGATCTACCTACACTCGTCCGTGAAGGGGAGATTACCTCCGACGTGGTTACGTGAACAATTTGATAAATGGCGGTTTCCGCTTTGTGCCAGTTTATTTGGTCTCCGATCTAAGTTCAGGTTTGATGCGGGTACGGTAAAAAGGGGTCATGGTCAGGTTGCATGCCGAAAAAATAACGGTTTTTTATTTTCTTTGGAATTGCGTCTACCCTACCAAGAGATTGTTCCGATTTCCGAGATTCTTGTAGAGTTGGACGTTCGCCAAGTTCTTCACCAGAGCAGAAAAGCTTGATAGACCGAAAACTTTGCGGAAATGGATCCTCTTCATTTCAGTGCTTAACCATGGTTAATTAAATAATTACAATGAGTGTACTAGTTAACCTCGTGCCTTACAATAGTTAAAACGCAGGGAACACTTGAAAAGTTACGATTACTGCATAAAAAAGAGACTGTAATGTACAGTGTAATGTACAGAAGTGGCAACATGTATCATAATCGTTTTTTTTTTAGTTTTTGTCGAATTACATATATTTATTTCCTGTAATGATACGCGGCTTAATAGCCCTTGCCGGGTTCCGGACATTTCTGATCGCCGCCCCTGTTTCCCTTTGGTATCCCTATTCTATGAGTGACCTTTCTGCCGATTCTGCAATTGCATAAACCTTGAACGGGAAAACCTTTTGTAAGGACGATAGCTTACTGTACATATACAGTATCCCTATTCCCTGGGGACATTTACTCGCTTGCTGCATATTAATCAAAAGATTTTATTTTTCTTTTTTTCTATTCATTTTTCTACTCCATTGCAAACTGTTGGTCGTTCATAGGAAAAGTGTTTAGGTTCCCAAGTTCAGATATGGTTTCAATGACCCTCCCCCGCGTCAAGGACACATTGGTGACACCGCTTCAATCTCTGTTACAATAAGCACTTCGCCCAATCGCCCTTCGTTACCTCGAGAAAAGAAAAAATGATGGCATCTCTAGCTATAAAAGCGCCATTACACAAGGAAGTGTCGGCACTTCACCATGTACGCATTCCTAGCCTTCACTACTTTGCTGGTCTCTACACAAGCTTTCCTATTCGGAGGCTTGAGTTCACTATTCGGTGGGGGATGTAACCCATGTGCCCAAGGTGGTTACGGTGCCCATGCTTCAGCTTATTCAGGCTACCATGCAGCAGCTCCAGCCTATTCCAGCTACCAGTCAGCAGCACCAGCTTATTCAGGTTATTCACAGCAAGCATCGTATGGAGGATACGCTGCTCAACCTTCTTATGGAGGTTATGGTGGAAGCTCTAGCTATGGTACTAGCGGTGGCTACGGTGGATATGGAGGACATTCTGGTTATGGTGTAAGCTCTGGTTATGGTGGAGCCGGTTATGGTGGAAGCGCCGGTTATGGTGGAAGTGCCGGTTATGGAGGAAGTGCCGGTTATGGAGGAAGCGCCGGATATGGTGGAAGCTCTGGCTATGTTGGAAGTTCTGGCTATGGCGGTTCTGGCTATGGAGGAGGTGCCAGTTATGGACATGTGCAAGCTCCAGCCAGTTACCAATCTTATGGTGGTCACCAGCAATCCTTCTCTCAAGGATATCAACAACCAGCTCCAGTCGTGAGTGAGCCCATCTCACAGCCATCGGGAGGATACGCTCAACCAGCTGCTCCTGTATTCCATGGCTCACACCAACCCACCTACACTCATCATGAAGTAGTGAGTGCTTATTATGTGATGTTATGAAGAATATTTCCAAGCTTTTTTTTNTTTTTTTTCTTCTTTCTATATTTATATCGATATAGGCTCCACCAGCTCCACCAGCACCTGCCACATACGAGCAACCTGCTGCTCCCGCTACTGTTGTAGAGAAAGTAAGAATCAACGTTGAGATTCCGTCGGCTGAGCGGTTCAAATCACCTATCCATTCAGGTTACCGAAGTTGTCGCTCCAGCCTCGTACTCGAAGCCAGCTCCAGCTCCAGTAGTTGAGCAAAGCGGTTACTGATAAATGGAATCTCCACCTTTCTACGATCTTTTTCTTGAGAACTCAGGAACGTAACGCAGAGTTCCTTTGCTTACGATAAATGCTCATATGAAGTCCTTCTTTCTTGATGTGTATGGCAATTCTCCAATACTGCTTGGATAAATGACTTTAATATTATAAAGTCTGGTAGTAAAGATGAGTACGTAAAGATATTTATTTTGCAGTTTTTTAAAAATCATTATGTGGCAATGAGCTTGTTGAAATGGCTTTCGCTGAATTCCTTCCCTATGAGGAAGAGCTCCTTATGAATAAACTAGCCGTTGCTGTGTGATGATTGCGTGATCCACGATGACGATATGTAGTAAGTGGAAAAAGTTATCAAACCGACTAAAACTACTCACTCAGTGCCCATGATAGCCATGTTAATCGTTGTACCGGTGGTGCATTATGTTCGAGTCCGGAACACTCGTAGTTAAGTGGTTTCAAGTTCACTAACACAAAAATGGCCAAAGATCTATCCCGCTAAAAGCAAAATTGGAGGTACAAAATCAAAGGTATCTAGCTGGCTTTTTGAAGTTTTCCCTGTCCCATGGCTCCCATATTATTATGATTCAGCAAAAAAGGCTTATCAGTACGTGGGAAAAGGGAATTTCAGTTTGCGTCAAATTGCCATTCAACTTGAAGTGTGGCATCACTTCAAAGAAATGTTTTATTTTTCTTGCCCTGGTCTTTGACTGAAAGAAATACTCAAAGGCATTGAGATTTATCTGCTCCATTGAATCAGCAGTGCTGTCGAAGTCCTGAACGTCAATCGATTCCATTTCTGGGATGCGCCACTGCATTCGACTGCGTTCAGGATGGCAGTGGCGATTTGAATGCGTATCTAGCCTATACAATGACTTATACATCAGCTGACCATCGCAAATCATTGTAGTCATTATAAGTCTCTAGTCTGATATCTCAACATGGTCCCGGAGAGGTGGAAGGGTTGATTGACCTTAGCGCGAACCGGTCCAGGATTTGATCCTCTCACATCGTCTTGATTTCTATCGCTACTATGTGAGATTGAGCATCTCACTTGGGCTTAACTCCTAGTACCACCTATAGCGACCAGCATCTACTCTTGTAACCTAAAATCCGAGTTGGTCGAGAATTTGCAAAGTTGCGGTTTTTGACTACGTTCGCTTTTTTTCCCTCGTTTTGGGGTCTTCAGAAGAACTCAGAGTGGGGTGTGGTGCGTTAGGAACGAAATGGTCGCGTCGCGGTGAGAGGGGCGTCGCGCGCGAAGGAATGTATTAGGTTGGCAAATAAGTCCTGCGACAAAATGGAGATCTTTTTTGAATCATTTCTAAATTTTTTCATACCAATCAATTTTCGGAAAAATTTTTACCGAAGAAGTCAACAACCTTCTTTTAGTGGGCGTGTCAATCACTAATGCCATCTCTTCAGGAATGAGGGAGCTG